GGAGGCCCTCTAGGGGGCATATATGACACAACCTGATCGTCAGATCAATACACACCCGGCGGATTCAAATCCCCAAACAGGAGTAGGGTATTACCTCTCATTGAGAGGGCCTGAACCTGTCTAAATCCTTTGTCTCTGCATCCATCCACTTTTAGGTCTCGTGCGCTACCCCGTTTTATTATTGCCGAATCCATGTTTCGACAGTCTGTGTGCTTGAGATGTCGGGGCCAATCAAGGCCGGCATATATGGCTGTGAGATTAATTAAACGACGCTGGGACAGGCGGTCGCTTGAAGGCCGGCAGCGTGTGGATGAGCTTCTCTTCCCCTTCGCTGCTCAAACTCCTCCCCCCTTCTCCTGATCCCTACGAAAACATGCGATCTCAAAACTCTAGTTATCTTTTGCAGAAACATATGCATACTGAATTTAATTTTCAGTTATCTTTGTAGAAACAATTAACATCAACCGAAGTAATTAAATCTTCAGCTATCTTCGCAGAAACATGTAGCACAAACCAAGTTCCTTACACTGTCAACCAAATTATACTGTTATCTTCTTTTAAGAAAATACGCCCTGTAACTGTGCATGCAAGAAACATATTGTTATGCATGTGTGGAACTATGGATAACGGATTACAAGTTGCAGCAGGACGGATTGATGATGGCTGCATGCCAGTAGGCGGCCGGCGGCCCACCCTTCATGCCTGTCCAGGCCCAGCCATCTCCTTAGCGGCACAGCGGCGTGACCACCATGGCCGACCTCGCCGTCGGCAGCCACAACCACGACCAGAAGCAGAGCGGCTAATGCTGCTTTCGGACCAATGTTATCTTCTCTCAACTTAAATAGGAAATTATTAGAGAGTCCATATTGACCGGTTGGGACGGTGGTGGGACTTTTGTCTGTTCTTGTGCTACTTCTGCTTCACCTGCGTGTGCAGGTGCTCCTTAAGGTCCTAGCATGTTCTTGCGCTACTACTTCTGGTTCCTACAGTCCGAGCAGGTGCCTCCTGTTTCTGTTCTTACGCTACTACTTCTAGTTCCTACGGTCCGAGCAGGTGCCTCCTGACTGACTGTTCTTCTCTATTCCTGCAGTCTGAGCAGGTGCCTCCTGTTCCTATTATGGTTCCTGCGGTCCTAGCATATTCTTGCGCTACTACTTCTGGTTCATGCGGTCCGAGCAGGTGCCTCCTGTTTCTGTTCTTGCGCTACTACTTATGGTTCCTACGGTCAGAACAGGTGCCTCCTAACTGATGCTCATGTTCCTGTTCTTGCACTACTACTTCTAGTTATTCTCTGTGCCTCACTGCTCCTGTTCCTGTTCTTGCGCTATTTCTGGTTCTTATCTGTTCTTGCAGTCCCTGCGGTCTGAGCAGGTGCCTCCTGACTGACTGCACATGTTCCTATTCTTGCGCTACTTTTGGTTCTTCTCTATTCCTGTGGTTCGAGCAGGTGCCTCCGAAACTCCTATTCTTGTGCGTGCACGTACCTGATTGACTGCTCATGTTCCTATTTTTGTGCTACTTTTGGTTCTTCTCTGTTTCTACGGTCCGAGGAGGCACCTACTTCTGGTTCTTCTATGTTCCTGCGGTTCGAGCTGGTGCCTCCTGACTGATTGCTCCTGATCCTTTCTTGAGCTACATCCTGACTGACTACTCATGTTCCTGTTCTTGCGGTCCTTCTGGTTCTTCTCTATTCCTGCGGTTCGAGCAGGTACCTTCATGACTGACTGCTCCTGATCTTGTTCTTGAGCTACATCCTGACTGACTACTCCTGTTTCTGTTCTTGCGGTCCTTCTGGTTCTTCTCTGTTCATGCGGTTCGAGCATGTGCCTCCGAAACTCATGTTCTTGTGCACACACGTACCTGACTAACTGCTCATGTTCCTGATCTTGCGCTACTTCTGGTTCTTCTCTGTTCCAGCGTGCACGTACCTAACTGATTGCTCCTGTTCCTGTTCTTGCGCTACTTCGCGCTACTTCTGGTTCTTCTCTATTCATGCGTCCTGAGCTGGTGCCTTTGGAACTCCGTCCGCTTGCGTACCTCACGGACTGCTCATGTTTCTGTTCTTGCGTTACTTCTGGTTCTCTCTTCCTGTGGTCCGAGCATGTGCCTTCGAAACTCTTGTTCTTTCGCTACTTCTAGTTCTTCTCTGTTCCTTTGTTCCTGCGTACACGGTTGAAACTCCATCCGCTTGCAGGTGTCTCCGGAACTCCGTCCGCTTGCATACATGACTATTCTTTTTCTTGTTCTTGTTCTTGCGCTACTTCGGCTTCACCTGCGTGCACGGGACGGCGGTGGCGCTACTGGAGGAGGTGGCTCCGAGAACAATAACATCAACAGAGGCAATACAATTGCCTCATCATCTACTGGAGCGTTCTCCAGGTATTTCTCAATTCTTCTATTAGTGTTCAACATGTTGTTATATGTTTTGCTATACGTTAGTATATTCATTTTTATCCCATGCTATCCTTAGGATTGCTATCCTATGTGAACGTTGTTGAGGCTTATGCTTATATTTTTAAAAAGATGCTCATGTTTAATACCATCACTAGATCATCAACTATATACATTTCATGTGTACTATCTTACTCCCTCCGTTTTTTAATAGATGACACCGTTGACTTTTTCTCACATGTTTGACTATTCGTCTTATTCAAAAAATTTACGTAATTATAGTTTATTTTGTTATGAGTTGTTTTATCACTCATAGTACTTTAAGTGTGATTTATATCTTATACATTTGTATAAAATTTTTGAATAAGATGAATGGTCAAATATGTGAGAAAAAGTTAACAGCGTTATCTATTAAAAAACGAAGGTAGTATTTTTCTTAGATGCCGATTTATCACCGAATTTCCAACAGTTCCTTGTTCTTTGGTTACGTGTGGGCTTCGTGTCTCTCTCTGCAGTGTCACCCCGACTTGATCAAAACGGAATTGGACAGAAAGAGGTGTTCGCTTTCACGATCAAATGAGTGAGATGCAACACGGATCTAACGTTTATTACCCATCTTTTTTTCTCGTCCTCTAGTAAAACGCCAACTGATATGCAACCTCTTTGCTATATAGTAATCCAACAGGAATTATATAATGTCTAAAAAAATAGATACACAAGATGTATTAATTAGACTCTCTTCTCATTGAATTCTCAAGCAAAAAATATACAATCAATATCTTCTCTCCTTATATAGTCATATCTCATATATGAAATATTTATGAGTGAATCTAATAAGTACTACCACCGTCCCATATTACTTATCGCTTTGTTTTTTCTTGTAATGTTTGATCATTTGTTTTATTTAAAAAATTAGTGCAAATATAAAAAATGATAAGTCATACTTAAAGTAAATTTGATAATAAAACAAGTCACAAATAAAATAAATAATAATTCTAATTTTTTTAATAAGATGAATGATCAAATATTACAAACAAAAACTCAAATCGACAAGTAATATGAGACGGAGGTAATATATATGGGTTGGATCTTCTGAGACCAAGCCCAATGATTTTTTTTAACAGATGTCACGTTGATTAAATCAAGACAATCTTGTGAAAAACGACAGGGGAGTGTGACTAAACAGAGAATTTATGGCTTGTTAGCAGGTTACGTGTCAAATCTAGACATCAATCGGGTGGACTTGGATCCACATCATTTCACCTGTCGGCACACCAAATTACACGCGGGTCCTGTTTAGTGCACACCAAACTTTCTCTAAACTTTAAACTTTCTATCACATCACATTACATCTAAAATTTTTCTATACACATAAACTTCTAACTTTTTACAAACTATCAACTTCCTTCAAACTTCTCCTCAATTTCAGATACTAAACACAGCCGAGGGCAAGTGCTTCTTTTCAAATTATTGGTACGGTATAGCTCGATTTTCTTTTTGAAACCGTAGAGTTTTATTGGCTTTCGACTTAGTTTGAATACGGAAAAAAATGTACTTGATTACAAAGATAAATTAACTATTGTGATAATGTTTTCATAAAAAAAATATTCTACTACTAATAAAGGAACTTAAAACGCAACTTAAAACAGTTTAAGCAACACATTAGAAGAATTTTATTTTGAAAAAAGAATTTTTTTGATGCAACGAATAATTTGTTTCAGCTCTTCGGTAAATAATCTGAAAAGAGACTAAAGGCTAAGCTAGTTTAGTATAGTGCCAGTTAGTAGAAAGCCAAACCTTTAGTAAGGTCTATAGAGGTTTACTGGGTTGATGCCAAATGGAGTGTTCCAAGTGCCAATTAGGGTGTGTTCGGCACCCCTACTTCCCAACCCCTCTCTCTCATTTTTCTCATTTTTCGTATGCACGCTTTTCAAACTGATAAACGGTACGTTTTTTGTAAAAAGTTTATATACGAAAGTTATTTAAAAAATTAAATTAATCTATTTTTAAAAAAAATATTAGCTAATACTTAATTAATCACGCGTTAATGGATCGTTCCGTTTTCGTGCACAGTGTTTGGGTTGGAACAGCCTTAATGGTTAGCTTCAAGCACTCCAAAATAATAACCCCTCTGTTCTTGAATAAGCACTCCAAAATGCGGATAATATGCCATATGATATATTAACAAAAAGAACAATAATTAATGGGTAAAACTTTTTTATATATGTGTTCTTAGCGACTTAAATGATAATGCTAAAAATAAACTTTAAAATCAAGTTTTAAAATTTCTATTTTGACAGCGGCTGATGTTATATAGAGGAAAACGATGAGGCCTTAGTCTGGTTGGAGGGAGATTTTCGGCCATGCAAAACGAAAAAGCTCATTAGCACATAATTAATTAAATATTATCTATTATAAACTTAAAAATAGATTTATATGAATTTTGTAGACATTCTGTATAGGAATTTTTTTAAAAAAACACATCATGCATTTAAAGGTTTGAAAAGCATGTTAACAGAGACGAGCAAGTTGAGGGTTTGGAGTTGAAGAGTACATAGAATAAGGCAGCGATATAGTAAAAAATGGTGACTAATTTGTCCTTGGCAATTGTTAGAAAATGTAATTAAGAAAATAAGTAAAGTGGATAGGGTAGGGATGGAACCAAAATCAAAGTATCTAAAGCAGTTAAAAAAATTTACTAATGAAAGTGGTGGCTACAAGAATTCGAACACAAATGATTTGATCTAAATTGATAAGTTACTGAGGAGTGCGTATTTGAACACAAAGTTACTGTTTCAACTACCAAAACTTTGATTGTATACACGTTTTGGCATCGAACGCCTCAAAACCAGAACAAATACCTCTCCCTACTTCCTCGCAAAAAAAAAAAGGACCCCTACTTGTCCCTAATGCTGCTGCTCGGCCTCGGGGTGTGCAAATCCCATTGTCCCACGCCGCTGCGGCTCGGCTAGGCTATCAACGGAGCACTCGTACGACGGCGTGGAGGCGGCCGACCATATCTGTGGTGACTGTGGTCTCGCTGCGCGCGGCTGCCGTGACGGAAAGCCCCAGGTTCTTGTCTTCTTGATTCTAGATACCCGCCATCTTCCTCAGCAAATCAACCACTTTCTGGTTTCAAGATGATCTTATTTTTTCAGGCTTATGCTCGATGCAGGGTATCCTTGACCTTAATCTGTACTAGGGGTTGCCCTAGTCCCTAAGCAGGAACTATTGGAATTCTTTTGGGCGATTTGGGTCACTGTCGCACACCCAAATCATTAAGGGCTTAAGTCGATAAGACAAATTTGGCGTTGGGTACTTGTTCACCCAAGGATGAAATTCACAAAGAACTGATATGAGCAGCAATTGTGCTTATACTTGTTCTGCATCATCTCGACACCCCTGTGTCAATGGGGATTGGAGAATACTGAAGACCTAAGCCAAGGACCCTGAAGAAAAATCATATCTTTTTTACTGAGGAAGAGGTGAAACTCCAAGTTATGGCTAGTGGATTAGTGTCATCTCTTCTTTCATCAACCAGCAGCCTGTTAGCAATTCTTCGAAGCCCGTTGTCAGATTTATATCCCCGGAGCGGTCATCCCACTGCATCTGCCGATCTGCAACGACTGAAGCGACTGCTGTCACGCATCCAGGCCACACTTGAAGATGCTGAGGAGCAAGGGCTCCAGGACAACTATGTTAAATTGTGGCTTAAGGAGCTCAAGGACTTGGCTCTTGATGCCGAGGATGTCCTTGATGATTACCGGTATGAGCTGCTGCAGAGCCAAGTCCAAGAGCTTCAAGGTGATTATCCACGCAAGCGGAAGCACATGGATAATGATGAAGAGGACAATGATAGTATTGATGAGGTATGGATGTACACGATTGGTGCATAACCTTCTCGCTCCAGCCTGTTTTAAGTGAATTACTCAAACAAATTCTACAGATCATAAATCTCCTTGGGATAGCAGTGGGTATTGTTCATGTCTTGAGTCCATTAAAATTATTTTCTTCTTAGTTTATGGGGTTGCCTTGCCTGAAGATAGTTCCTTCGATCACCCTTGTTAACTACGAGTTTATATGTATATGTATTAATGTATATCGGGCTAAAACTTAGTAATGAAATTATCTTTTCATAAATAACGCATTGTTTTACTTCTTCTTGCTCTTATTCACCTTTATAGAAATTAATTCGCAGAGAATTAATGAGATGATAAACCGTTTCGAGGAGATATCCAGAGATCGAGATGCTCTCAAGCTCAGATTTGAAGATGGCCATAAAATTGTTGACAGGGGAAACTGGATGAAGTCACGGCCTACTAGCCACCTTATTGATGAGTCCCTTGTTTTTGGTAGGATTGATGAGAAGGAGGATATTATCAAGTCAGTATTATCTCATCAAGACATGGAACCATCTGGAATTGTTGTTTTGCCAATTGTTGGAATGGGTGGTATTGGCAAAACTACCATAGCGCAGATGGTATATAATGACAGTCGTGTCAGAAAACATTTTGAGCATAGTGGTTGGATTCATGTATCCCCAACATTTGATGTCCATAAGTTGACGATTGCCATTACTGAGTCATTAACCATGAAAAACTATGGCTTCACACAGCTAAGCTTAGTTCATGGGGTTCTCTTGGAAGAGGTACAAGGAAAGAAATTGTTTTTCGTGCTTGATGATTTGTGGAATGAATGTGAAAGTAGCTGGCAGGATTTTCTATCTCCGCTCAGGCATGCACAAACAGTGACAATTTTGGTCACCACCAGGAGTAAAGAGGTTGCACGTCTTGTTCAAACAGTGCAGCTATATCATCTTGGCTGCATTCCTGACAAGGATTGCTGGTTGTTGTTTCAGCATTATGCTTTTGGAAACCAACATGAGAGTGAACAGTCCATATTAGTTCAGATTGGCAGGAAAATTTTGCAGAAATGTGGTGGCTTACCGTTAGCAGTGAAGTCACTAGGTTGCCTTTTACGATCAACAATGGATGAACATGCCTGGATGGAAATATTGGAAAGTGAGCTTTGGGAATTGGATGAAGAGGATAACATCTTTCCAGCTCTTAGATTGAGTTATTACTGGTTGCCAACAAGATTGAAACCTTGTTTTCTTCTCTGTTCATTGTACCCTAGAAATTTAGGATTTACAAAGGATGACATTATTCAGCTGTGGGTCGCTCAAGGTTATATCTACTCTACAAACGGGAAAACTTGCCGGGAGATAGGAAATGAGTATTTTAATGAACTGCACGCAAGATCATTGATTGAAACTTATAGGAAACCAGTATGTTGGGATATTAACAAACGGAAGCTTTGTCTCTCCAGGTTTACTTATAATGAGAGACAAGGATTTTCGTCAAAAAAAAGAGAGAGACAAGGATTTTCGTCAAGAAACGAAGGGAGACAAGGACTTTCGTCAAAGGAAAAAGCAAGAGAAGCAATGTTCTATTTGAAAAACAAGTTACAGTGTGAAACTTATTTGAAGAAACCATCAACGTCAATTGGACGCTTTAAGTTGCATGATGTTATTTTTGATCTTGCAAAATCATTTACTAGAGGAGAACAGTGTACAGCAATGTTTGGCACGACATGTATGCCACCAGTAGCTGATCTGAAACTTCAATTTCCCAACCCGAGGTCCGTAAGAACACTCGTGTTAAACTGTTGTTTCCGCTGCTACAAAAAACATTCTGGTTATTTTATGGAATTATCCAGTTTCATGTATCTAAGGTCTTTAATACTGAATTCAAACCACGATGTTAGTGGTATGGTATATTCAATCGGCAATTTAAGACACTTGCGCTATCTTTCTCTGAACTGCAAAATGAGAGAGTTGCCTGAATCGGTATGTCGCCTTCACAGCCTGGAGACATTGATTATTTCCTCCTTGAGAATATTAAAGTCAAGCAACTTTCAGAATCTTTTCAGTCTTAGATGCCTTCATGTTTCTTTTGACTTCATGGATGGATCGTTGGATCAATTTAGTGATCTTTATTGCTTAGGGACACTGTGCTTGAAGCATTGCTGCAACATTACATACCTACCCTTACACATAAGAAGCCTCCTTAACTTACAACATCTTCAACTTGTGGGCATTTCGAACATCAGGCGTTTGGATCATGCATCTTTCAGGTACAACAAAAGTAACAGCACATGGCAACCAGATGCACTATTTCCATCCTTGGAGAGTTTAGAACTCGAAAATTTGTGCAACCTGGAAGATTTGTGTGGATTGCAGAATTCAGATTGCTCGAAATTGCAGTCTCTTACTGTAAGAAACTGCTCGAAATTAAGCAGAATCCCTTGTTTCACCTCCCTGAGAAATTTGGTAATAAGCAAATCTGTTGTCAAGATTATCCAGTTTTCACTAGGTAATATGCCGTCAAATCTCCAAACTATTGATATCAGAGATTGTTTTCACCTGAGTACTTTGGTGGGGCTACAAAATCTTTCTTGCCTTATGAGCTTGTACATTTCCCACTGTCCTCAGCTCCTGATTCTTCCTTCAGAAAATATGCCGTGCAAGCCTTGCCATGCATTTGTCGCTGATTGTCCTAAACTGAAACAGTGGTGCGAGAAACATGAGTTCAACTACTTTCAGGTATGTACAGTTTTCTACAAAAGTAGAATAATCATTTTGCTTACAACCACTTATGTTTCCTCATTTCCTACACGAGTACATGTTCCATTAAATACAGAGCCTTCTACTTTTGAGTGAACAAAATGCATCTTCTACTTTAACAAAATGCAAAATATACTATTTTCCATGTATACCAATGTGATTTATGTGAGGAATTATATGAGGAGAGTGGATTTTAAACTCTCGAGGGGACGTCCCACCGTTGCTTGCATGCCACTCAAATAGTTATAAGAAAATTAAAAAAACTAGGAAGGTAGCTTGCTCATATGCGCGGGCATCTTATTTAATGTGTGTGAAATTTTATTACGAATGTCCATGTGTGGGTGGCTTTCTATCAAAAATATTCTTTTACTTTATCCTAAACTAAAATTGAACTTATTTAATGTACTTTGAACAATGGTTATGTTTTTCTTCTAATTACCCTTGCAGCATATAAATTCTGAACTAAAATTACTTAAAACTGTGTAGTTTTTAATTTATGATAAAATGTTGTGCCAAAACAATAGATGTGTTTACTATGAATGTCCATTTTTCTTGTTAGATTCTGTTTGAAATTTTAGATATATTCATTTTATTAGTCATATCAAAATGTTTGAATATTTCTATTTAGGATGGGTTTCAAGCCCGCAAAAAAAAAATTAAAATTAGATAAATTTTGTTCAATTTTCATTTCAATTTTGTTCAATTTTCATTTCTTTTCATATTCATCTTTTATTTTTTGGGGGAGAATTCCACTGTATGAGGCATGCTTGAAATGCTTTGATATCTGCAATTTGGGATGAAAATATAAGTGGGTTGATCCTGCAACCTGGCATGGGATAAAGGCATCCGTTCTAAATTATATCTCTCTAATTAAGTAAGAAAATTTAAAATAGAGGCCGTAGTATTTTTTCGCAAATTACCACTAAACTGGAGTGTCATGTAACAAAAACACGTTCTAGATTGTTCTATGCTAAATTTCAGAAATTCATGATGTACCGTAGCAAGTTTTACCAAAAATAAATAAATAGACATGATCTTTTAATTACTCTCTAAAATTTACCTATATATTGCTAAGGCAACATCATGGTTGTTTCGTTGTTAAGATTCCACCAACGTTCTTAGTACAATCGGTATGTTCAATTGGCCACGTGACTTTATAGATCACATATATAATTTAGATGCTATGATCATTTTAAGATTATTTATTTATCTCCTAAAACGATCATTTATTGATAAAAACATCAACATCAAATTGTATGGATGAATAGCTCCTATATACATCTTGAGAGAAAAAAAAATAATTAAGTCGATAGAAAGTCGTTAGATGTCTAACGGGATATAATTAATGGGTCTACCAGTTTTATAAAAAATTAAGGCGGGATATTTTTTATTTTTAGTGAGAAATTTTAGTGTTTTCTTATATTTAGTGGAGGCCTCAATATGGATGCGGGTTGCAGAATGTAAATTTTTGTTAGCATTTAAATATAGTCAATATAGTTATTAAATTATTGATTTCACTTAAAAAAATAATGTGATAGTTCAAACAGATCATAAGAGACATATGGTGGCTATACCTAATAGGTGGAGGTTCATTTGTGGTCTTTTCTTTGCCCACGAAGATAATTTTAATTTTAATTGTCAAGAGATAAAAAAATATAGAAAGTAACACACGGCTTGGGGATGAGAATGGAGGGAGGGTTGGGATTTTTTAAAATAAAATGATTGATCTAACGACCGAAAATAATGTGTTCATGTTTAAGTCAAAACCGATGGTCGAATGTTTTATTTTTTTGATTTATTAGGATTTTCTCTAATTTAAGCGGGACAAATAGTAGCTTAGTATAGCGTTTATGTGCTTTAATGCCTATAGGGATGGAGAGGAAGGGAAGATGGTTTGGGATGGATTTTTTTTAAAAAAAATAATGTGTCCATCGTTTTAAGTGGATACCAATGATTGAATGTTTCTCTAATTTAAGAGTGCCACACAACGGTTTAGAATATTTATAGGATTTTTAATGGATTTTAATGCATATGGTGTCTATTTGTGGGTTTTTTTCCCTATGAAGATAATTTTAATTTTAATTGTGATATGCTTTCACATGGAAAACTATATGTATTATAAAAAAGATGAAAGCATCAGATTAAATTCATTTAGAAAGGGTAGTTTTAATCTTGGCCTGAGTAGTTAATAGCCTTAAATTCATTATTTAAGACGAAGAGCAAAAACCGCAGGATGGATATATCAGGTTGAATGCTCCATCAAGCGACCATTGATGATCCTCTTCATTGTTAATTTTTTAATTTTTCTTTCAGTTATATTCTGTTTTGCATTCTTGATCTGGGCTTTGATCAAGTAACGGTAGTAGCGTATTGGCCGCTGGTGCCGGAGGAACCGACATCAGATGTTGATCCAAGGACGAGCGTATCCTTTCTAATTGATTTTCAGACTGTTAAGCACCTTCTAAACTTAGCCTCTCATCTTCTTTCAAATTCGTGCAGTTTTTTTTAGTGGGAGTGCGAAGCACATCTCGATAAGAAAACAGAGAAACAACATAAAAATCATTATGTGCAGGGATGGTGGGAAGTTTTGATTTTTTAAGATGCATCTAACGATCTTAAATAATGGGTCCACCGATTTAAATGAAAATCAACGGATAGATTTATGTATTTTATTAGAGTGTCACGTGGTGCCTTGAGAGTATTTATACGTTGCCATGTGGCGGCTTGAGAGTGTTTATAGAAAGTTTAATGAACTATTAGTATATAATAGATAGATTGAGAAGGTGTATTAACATGTGATATTTCACTCTACAAACATGCAACTTAAAATTCAACTCCACATGCCGCAACGAAAAAAAAAGAAAATTTGACTGTCAATATATGTTAACTAATCGTAGTTTAATTTGTTTTTTTTGTTACAATATGTCGAAGTTGAATTTTAGGTTGCATTTTTGTGGAGTGATATATCACATATTAATATATATTCTTAATATTTTTTCATAACTATTTGAGTGACATGCAAATAATAAGGGGATATCCCCTCAAGAGTTTAGAATAGTTTCCCATTACATGACCTTTCTTATCGAATTAATTTGTTGATATATTTAGGTTACCATAAATAAGCGATGGCGATACAGAAGTCCAAAATGTGTGTGTGTATGTTGTGGGATGGGATACAAATGCCAAATGCCACAATTTTAGGTCACTTGACACCAATTCCACCGCTTTCCCAACTTGTAAAATGTTTTCATTCTTTGTGAATATCGATAAGAAAGCATGGACGAAGTAAGCACCTAAAAGCAATTGGATCTAGTACCCAGGTATTATAACATAGATTTTTTTCTAAGGAACATAAACAATAGTTGCACCATAAATGTTGCAAATTTTGGAGTGTTCTCAATATAACTGTAGTTTGAACCCAAGTCCAATATATGGGCCTGAAGTTCCTCAATCATTAGGTGTGGAATAGAAGTTGGCTAGGTTTTGGGGGTGTAGCAAGGCTTCTGCCTGGTTTGGACCAATTAGGCTAACATCTTCCGATTTTGGGCCAACAAGTGAGGTGAGAGCCAAATCCACAATTTCTAGTGCTCGTGCATATTCGTGTGGTGTAGTTGGGGACTTCCTCTCGTGCCCACGATTTCTTTGCTACTGCAAAGTTAGATTGATACAAATCAATGGTAAAATTCCATTTGGTAGATTGTTGCAAGTGGAGGCGTGGATTATAAACTTCAACAGAGGATTTTATGCTGGAACGATTACTTTGTTGTAAATTAATAAACCTATGTACTCCCGTACTGTTTGAGGTTTTAGACCTTTTTAATTCACATAAAAAAAATTCAGTAATAAAAACATGCAGACCAGTTTAGTTTCATTTATGAGAAACATAGTGAGTGCCCTAAGCCCATAATTAGGTACATGGATATTTGAAATGCAGCAATCTGCGTGAAACTCAATTCCTTAGCTTGCTGTCCATTTTGGTGGTTTTGCCATATGATGTCCTGATATGGATGTTCTAATATGTCATCCATATCAGGACATCATAACCATGGATATTTGAACTAATACGTCATATCCATATGGTTTTTACATCATATTTCAATCAGGACAATAAACTGTTGTCAAAACTAAGGATATATTTAGGCTCAATTTTCACTAATTGTTCTCTTTATCTTCTTCAATAGGTTACTAGGAAGATGCATATTTCAGATGTGCGATTGATCACAGAATATGGTGTTAAGAATTTCGTGGCCGTTCAACATTTGACAATTGAGAACTGCACGCAGATAGGCCAAAACCTGCTTTCCTCAACCAAGAGCTGGTTACCATCTAACTTGCGGTTCTTGCAGTTCAGTTCTTGCACTTTCTCTGGTGTTCTTAATTTCCACAAGGGTCTTTCGATGCTTTCGGGACTAGAGATCAGGAACTGTGCTAAACTTGAATCGTTGATAGGTTTGAATTATCTCAATAATCTTCGAGGACTGGTTTTGGTTGAATGTCCTTTACTTGATATGTCAACTGGAACAAAATTTCCAGATCTATTGTCATCTTTGATAATTCGCGGGTGCCATCAGCTTCTATCTCTGCACTTATGTAACCCTGCAGTTCTGACGGAGCTTGAGATATCCGACTGCCGTGGATTCATGTACATTGGAGGATTAAGAAATTTTAGAGACCTTGAAAGCTTGAAACTTCTTCATTGCCCTCTACTTCAGCTGCGGGACTTGATGCCAGCTGCTCCTGAAACTGCCGTAATCTGTTGTTGTCCGAGGCTGAAGAAGTGGTGCGAATGGCATGACATAGAGTATAAGGTAAACCAACGTTCTGATATTCTATTCGTTTCTATGATGTTAATTCACTCTGATATTTTCGTTCCTGATTAGGACATTCAGGAAAATCCAGAAGATTCATATGGGAAGCTGTGATACTTTTGTAATTGACCACATTTTATTACGACAACTTCTTGAAGATACATATGGGATGGCTGGTCATACATTTTGATATAACCGTTATGGTCTCGAGACAGATAATTGATCTGTAACAGCTCAAGACAATTAGCCTGTTTTGTATTGTAGGCTAGTGGTGTGAGAAAACTTATCACAGGGTAAATTAAGTTCACTTCAAATTTTACACAACTTAAATGGAATTGGTGCTACATAATTTTCTTCAGAACAATGTAAATTTGGTGAAATGGTGTAACGTTTTTATAACTGAAGTGCATTTTCCAAACATTTTGCGGATTACAATTATAGTTAAACTTATAATATGCTTAACATGGTGTTCACCTATTTTAAAAAGGTTTATGTTGTTTATTTAACAGATATGTCTCTTTCACTCTTTTAATTGGGTAAGTTTAGATTAAGCTTTTGTAAAAGTAGGCACCTGCCGATATGCTCATCTGAACATTTTGCAAAACGGCGATTCAATTTTTTTTATCTGTATTTGTGTATACCGTGCATATTAGCGCGTTTGAATGGTGCACCTGAGTGGCCTTTTATTTTGTTCTGGGTGCTTTTAATAGTAGGGGAAAAAATGCTGATTCACCAGTCCTTAAGACTGGTACTTGACCATTTGCCTCTTCAAGTCGTAGACATGGCCGCTATAAATAATCCAAGAACTAAGTAATCATGGTAAGGTTCCGTTGTTTTTTCATGTTCCCTTCTGCCGATTTTATTTATTGTATATGGTATGGAGCTTCGTTAATTACTTCTGTTATGTTTACAAATATACTAAAATGCTATGCTGCTGGATGTTCTGTTCTTGGTAATGTAAATAAAATCAACTCTATAGCGCTCATTGGTAATCCATTCAAGTTTCACTTCCGAATATAGTATATACCACTGATCCGTACCACTGATAACACAAACTCATCCTACACAACATCTCATATTTTGTTTATTTTTTGTAATTGAAAGAACCAGGCGTTGCTGGCTTGCTGCCATGCTTGCATCATATTACAAAAGTAGCCGAACACAAACTTCTCCATTTCTCATAGTTTATTCTCAAATTAAGATGCATGATTACCATGTCGATCTGCATGGCATCCATTTAACACACTGCTTACATTGTTCGGTCCTTCAGCTTTGAGATGTCGGGGCCGATCAAGGCCGGCATATAATATGGCTGTGAGATTAATTAATTAGACGTCGGTGGGATAGGCGGTCGCTTGAAGGCCGGCAGCGTGTGGATGAACTTCTCCCCTTCGCTGCTCAAACGCCTCCCACCTTCTCCTGATCCCAACCAAAACACCGACATCTCAAATCTCTAGTAGCTATATTTTGCAGAAACATTTGTATATACTGAATTTAATTTTCAGTTATCTTCGCAGAAACAATTAATATTTAAATCTTCAGCTATCTTAATTTGCAGAAACATGTAGCAGCAACCAAGTTAGTTACACTGTCAACCAAATTATACACTGTTATCTTTTTTTTTTCAAGATAATACGCTCTGCAACTGTGAATGCAAGAAACAGATTGTTATGCATGTACAGAACTATGGATAACGAACGGATTACCAGTTGCAGCAGGACGGATTGATGATGGCTGCATGCCGGTAGGCGGGCCACCCTTCAAGCCGGTCATCCAGCCCAGGCCCAGGCTTCGCCTGAGCGGCACGGCGGCGTGGCCACCATGGCCGACCTCGCCGTTGGCAGCCACAACCATGAACAGAAGCAGAGCGGCCAATGCTGCTTTCCACGCCATGTTCTTACCTTCTTTCCTTACGTGCGGCGGTGCGGGCAGCGTGCAGCGTGTCTCTGCAGTGTCACGCCGACTGGTGGATGGAATGGAACTGAACTTAATTTCTGCACCAATTTCACCATATAAATAGTTGTGAATTGCAAGGGCAGTGTGCGATGTTGGTATATGCTCTCGATCTGGTGTTTGTGCACCCAACTAGATAGTGAGATAATCAAAGAGAGTTTTGCATATATGCAGTTAGGCGGCGCGAAAGCTCTGATCAATAATTGTTGGAAGAGGAACTGTGCAATGAAGGAATCAATATCTTGTAGTTTGTTGGTACCTACTATACTACTTAGCGATCACATGCCAACGTGTTTATTTGGTAGCAGTTTCATCGATCTATATGGTCGAGAAAAATCAGTGCTCTTCAGAGTCTAGACGTGCAAACGACGACGGGGCATAAAGAAAGAAATATGATCATATGCTCCATTGGTAACAAATTAAGGTGTTTCTGTCTTTTCACGTGTGCATCTGTCTTTCAGGCTCACCTTGGTATACAACAGATGAAGCCACCAGGGTTCCATGGAACGAAATTTCAGAAATAGCGGTAGAAAATTCAAAATTCTTAATTAAGCAAATATCATTCAAATTTCAACCTTTTTGTCCGAAATTTCGCTTCTACCAGTACTCCAAAGTATATATACTTTTGATTTCCGAGACAGAACACTGGAAGCCAAGCCTGAATTCTAATACTCCAGAAGAGGGGCAAAGAGACTCAAGAGGATGATTTACCTTTTGAGTGCTCAACTGACTATTCACATACTGTAGAATTGAATGAGATGATTTTTTTTAAAAAGAATGATTAAACATGCCTCACATCTTGCACTACTAAAAAAGCATTTTTCCCAATGTTAGAGTCTTATTTTCGCAGGCGGACATGACCTTTAGAACCAAATGACCGCCTACAAAAATATAAATCGAGGTGAAATTTGATGTCCGCCTACGAAAATAGACTTGAATATAAATAGACTTGGGATAGGAGGAGATTTTTTCTAAGTCTCCACACCTCACCACTCACGGCCGGCAATCTTATCCCCTCACCTCTCAGTCCCTCACCTCTCTCATCCCCTCCCCTTCACCTCTCCTCCTCTCCCCACCTCACTTCTCTCCCCTCCCCTCACCTCTCTCCTCTCCCGGCAGCGGCGGCCGGCGGCGGGCGGTGACGGTGGAGGGCGGCGGCGGCGCGCTCCTGGCCCCTCCCTCCCATATCTGGCCGGAGGGGGGCGGGGGGAGCACGGCGGCGGGCGGTGGTGGCGAGGAGGGTCGAGGCGGCAGCACGACCACGGCGGCGAGGGCGGTTGAGGCGGCGGTGGCTGCTCCCGGCCGCCCCTCCCTCCCAGATCTGGAGTGACGACGGTGGGCCGTGGCCGTGCAGCGGCGGCGCGGACGCAGGTGGGCCGCGGCCGTGCGGCGGCGACGGCGGCTCCCGGCCGCCCCTCCCTCCTAGATCTGGAGTGACCACGGCGGGCCGTGGTCATGCGGCGGCGGCGTGGACGACGGCGGGCGGCGGCGGCTCCCGGCCGCCCCTCCCTCCCAGATCCACGTTGACGACAGCGGGCCGGGGCCGTGCGGCGGCGGCGCGGACGACGGCGAGCCGCGGCCGTGCTGCGGCGGCGGCGGCTCCCGGCCGCCCCTCCCTCCCAGATCCACGTTGACGACGGCGAGCCGCGGCCGTGCTGCGGCGGCGGCGGCTCCCGGCCGCCCCTCCCTCCCAGATCCGCGTTGACGACAGCGGGCCGTGGCCGTGCGGCGGCGGCGCGGACAACAGCGGGCCGCGGCTGTGCGGCGGCGGCGGACGACGGCGCGGGGCGGACGTGCAGCGGCGGTGGATGAGGGCTGGGCGGCGGCCGTGATTTCTTGAATGTTTTTATTTGCTTTCTTTTAGAATTGATTCGGTGATTTTGGATGAACTGTGGATGAATTGATTCGGTGTTTTTTTGGATGAACTGGATGAATTGAATGGATTGGATGGGGAAAGGGTGGGAACTGGATTGGGAACGGGAAGCTACCGCCGGAAACGGCGGTGGCTGCCCAATTTTTTTTTAGCGCTCGAAGCTATTTTCGCAGGCGGACCTGCCGCGCGCCTGCGAAAATCAACTATTTTCGCAGGCGTTGAGGTGCAGGCGGATGGCTTGTCCGCCTGTGAAAATATGATTCGGCCGACTGGAAAAAGAGTTTTTCTTTGAATGGATGTACAAAACCAAAAGTCATGCGCTTAGATCCAATCTCCTTACATCAAGGATTTAACAAAGCATCACGACTACATCAATCGACAAAAGAGAGAGAGGCTAAGCTTCCAATCTCTTTCTAAAATTCCATGCGAACCTTGCATAGAACTCCATAACCCTTGCTTCTAAAAACTTGCAAACACTCCATCTAGTGGCCATCTTCTTCTTTAGCAACAAATATCATTGTCACACCCAATTGTGTTCCGTTGAAGATTACCTGCATAACAGAGTTAATTTTGGAGCCATTAAAGACAACACCATTTCTAATTAAATATGTCGCCCAACACAAAGCCGCAATTCTCACATACATTTAATATTTTAGCCTAGGTTGAACCTCCATTTAAGAAAATACCAAAAAGATTAGCGACACTCGCGGTTGGATCCCAAAGGTTGTAAAAACAACATTCCAAACATATTTTGCCAAGCGACAATAAAAAGAGATGTTGTATTGCGAAAATGCTTAGGATCCGACGTTCGACGCAAGCAATAAAAATCGGACGAATAAACCACTACCTTCATATCCACTTCACACATACATACATGTTATAATGGTCTTCAAAATAATTTTTCTCCTAAACTACTTATCCAATCTATGACATGATCACACCATTATATTTGTTATAATTAAATCTTTACAACAAGATATCACATGATTATATTCCGATGAAAGAAAAACATATGTTTCACTCCGTTAAATTTAATGTTTTAGACGCGGTAGCAATATGTTTCAACGTATGTTTTTGTTATGTTTCATAAAAAAATTAAATATTTCAACAATTGATTTTTTGTTTCACTAAGTATAACTTAATGTTTCAACAACGATTTTTTTTCACCAACGTATAACTCATGCCACTACTCTCTCACTCTCTCTCCTGCCATCAATTTGGCTTTCTCCCCACACCATGCATGATGCAAGTATTGAGTGATATTAAAAATATTTTTTTCCTCTAAACTACTTATTTGATGAACGATTCGATCACACCGTTGAATTCGTTATAATTAAATCTTTACAACAAGATATCACATTATTATATTCCGATGAAAGAAAAATGTATGTTTCAGACAATAAAAACTTAATGTTTCATACGTGATAGCAATATGTTTCACATGTGTTCTTATTGTGTTTCACAAAATTTCTATATGTTTCATAGGCTGATTTTTCTGTTTCACCATGTATAACTTAATATTGCACCAATGGTCAACTGAAACATTTGACCGTCCGATTTTTTTACAACATCGGACGTCCGATTTGTAGCTCTCCTTGCGAAAATGCTTAGGATTAGACGTTCGACGCAAGCAACAAAAATCGGACGGATAAACCACTACCTTCATATCACTTCACACATACATACATGTTAGCTCTCCCCGTTGTATTGTTTAATTAGAATTACAAAGCAATATTTGATACTAACCTTCCATTTGCTTTTTGCTAGATTACCTTTGATCAAATGACCCATCTTTTTAGATACGAGAGGAAGATCTTGAGAATTCTAAGCTTCTAAATAAATATCTTCCTTGGTACTACATCATGACACATAAGGGTTTTGCACATAGAGTTTACCGTGAAAATTCCCTTGTTAGCTTTCCAAACAGAATTGAATGAGAAAATGGATAATAATTTTGGGAAAATGGAAGAGGATATATGCTAGTTGACTTCCTTGCAAAAAAAGTATGAGATTCATACTGATTCAGACATCATAGAGATGATGATTTAGCGAAAAATGAGGATAAGAAAGAAGCAGATACTTTGAGCCTCATTTGTTACCCATCTAATAAGCCAAAACAGCTTATTACGGAATAAAAATAAATTTATAGGTGATACTTTTATATATTTGTTTGTAGCGACGTAAATACCAATGCTAAAAAAATTATGTTAAAAATATCTTAAAATCAATTTCAAATTCAAAAGTTTGATAATTTAAATTTTGGCTTTTACTTTATCTTATTAAACCAACGGATGGGGCTTTTGACATGCCGACATATGAGAGGTGACAGCATTGATAAATATGCATATGTGCGGTGTGTTCATTAATTCAAGGCGGTGATGGGCGATTAATCCGAAAGATAGCGGACCCGGTTATGACGGATTTGGCTTCTTCCACACCGGAATTGTGGCCTTCGTGATCTTCTCCTATAAACAAACAACTCAAATTATAAATTTAAGAGGTTATTTACGTACGGACCCATCTTCAATACCACACTATCGTAAAAACTCAACCTTCTTGTCTAGCAATAAGGACTGGTTTAGTTTCTAAATTTTTTTTCCTAAAAACGTCATATCAAATCTTTAAAAACATGCATAAAGCATTAAATATAAATAAAAATAAAAATTATTTACACAGTTTACATGGAAATCGCGAGACGAAACTTTTAAGTCTAATTAGTCCATGATAAGCCATAAGTGCTACAGTACCCACATATGCTAATGATGGCTTAATTATGCTTAAAAGATTCGTCTCGCGGTTTCGCGAGTTATGAAATTAGTTTTTTTATTTGTGTCCGAAAACCTCTTCCAACATCCGGTCAAACATCCGATGTGACACCTAAAAATTTTCTTTTCGCGAACTAAACACACCCTAAGGAGATCTAGGCTCTACCACTGTTGATTAATGTGCTGCTTTAAATTTGACGGCACACACCACATGTACAGCAAGAACAACCAGCAGTTCCAATAATTAATGAGGGACAGAAATTACCATTCGAATCAATAATTAGGGAAGAGAACAGTACAGTTAATATTTTTATACTTGGTGAACTGTCTTGAATATATTTTTAGAAAAATAAACCCACTATACTACTACTCTGCGAAGTACGGAGTATGCTGTATGCATTTGGTACGTCAATAAGTATGCATTTGCATCATCGTAGAACCTCGCACGACATGGTGCATGCCACCGCTGTCGTTCGCCGGCAGCAGACTGACCAAAGTCAGCTTGGCA